TCAGTTGGCTTTTTTTTTTCTTATTTTATTTTATTGAAGTAGATTTGACTTACAATGTTGTGTTAGTTTCTGCTGTACAGCCAAGTGACTCAGTTATACATATACATGCTCTTTTTCATATTCTTTTCCATTATGGTTTATCACAGGATACTGAATATAGTTCCCTGTGCTGTACAATAGGACCTTGTTGTTTATCCACCTTATATATACTACTTTGCATCTGCTAACCCCAAACTCCCAATCCTTCCCTCTCCCACCTTCCTCCCCCTTGGCAGCCACAAGTCTGTTCTCTATGTCAGTCGGCTTTTCTCACGCTTCATCCGCTTCAGTCTTGGCAGAACACTTTGTGTTACTGACCACAGCTTCTACTATTTCTCTCCCAACACTCTTCCTGTTTCCCAGCTCCTTTCTCTCCTCCTCCCCCTCCTCCTATTTATGAGGACCATCTCCATGCACATGGTGCCCATATCTTTTTCACCGGCTGTGACCTTTCTTTCTTCTGACATCCAGTTCCATCTGTCCACCCTCAGGCATGCCTCCAGCTGAACAATCCCAGAACTGATTCTATCATCTTCTCCTCAAAGGGGCCTCCTCTTACCTATTGATTTCTACTTATGAAGTTGAATCTTTTCAGACCCTCCCTGTCCCTAAGTTCCACAGACAAACAAAGATCAAATGCTGATTTGGCCCAGTCTCCTGAATCTGTCCCCTCCTTCTCTTCCCCATCACCTTTGTGCAACATCTCATACCAGTTACTCAGACTACATCAACAGCCTCCCAAATGGGCCCCTGCTCTGTCTTCCTCCATCCCACCTCGCTTATGCTACTAGACTCAACTCTATTCCTAAAGCACAACTCTGATCACCTTGCTTCCTTGCTCAGACACCATTAATGACTCCGCAGGGCATACAAAGTAATGTCCGGTTTCCTCAGTCTGGCACCTGGACGCCTCTTCACAATCTGACTTCCACTAACATTTCTGCTTTACCTCTTTGGGGCTCTCCTGCCGACACTCCTGCAGATTACGTCCAGTGGGGGAGATCAACACTGATCAATGATCACAGGAGCACGCATCTGTAAATTAGGATATGGGCTCTGAATGGCAGAGAGGATGCTATCAAGTCATAAAACTAAAATCTTGGTTTGGCTCCTTCAAGGAGCTGACCACAGGTTGGAGAGACATGAACAGAGGGGACAGTGTGGGGTTGTGACTGGAGAAGGGGCAGGGCCAACCACTCAGGGCTTTAGGGAGACCCTGTGGCCGACTTTGTTCTTTGTCCTGATGGCAATGGAGCCATTGGATGGTTTTAAATATTATGGGCGGGATCATAATCTCAGTTTTAAAAGATGATCCTGCGGCAGGTAAGCTCCTCAACAAGGCGGATGTTGCCTTTAGCTCTTGGTGGCCCTCAGTGCCTGGAAAAGGGTCTTCCATAAGGAGCTGTTAAATGAATACCTGGACAAGAGGAATGAATGCAGACATAAAGGAAGAGGGGGAGATGAAAAGAAGAAGAGGAGGTAGGGAAAGCCGGGTAAATTGACTGGAAAGAGGTGAAAGCCACTTGAGTTGTATGTATAAAAGAATGAGATACTTTTACACAAATATTCTAAGTGTGGGCTACCATTTCATAGCTGTCCCCACAAGTCGGCAGAAACCCTGTTGAAATTTGGCTTTGGAATTGCCTTCAGAGGCTCTTTATCAATTACACACGTCAAATCTCATTGTCTTATTGTCAAATTTGGGGCAAACTTTGCCTATTTTTTCCTCCACGTTTTCCTCCATGCCTATATGATCTTTTTATTTGCCTCCTTCCATTGTTTTCTTGAATTATAAATTATATGCCTCTTTATATTGTTTATTTGGATTACAAACTTCTAGAAGACAGAGACTAGATCTTTTAAATAAATTTTAATCGGAAAAGCAGATGTTATGGATCTGGGTGCCCTACAGGGGCTTTTCCCGTTTACTGCGAAGGTAGAGGGTGTAGGGGGGAGGCATCAGGGGTTGATGAATTGAAAAGGGGACCAGGATCAGGGCAGGAGAAGGAGTCTCCTGCCTTTTTTCTTTCTCCTTTATCTAGTACACAGGATTGAACTTAAAATATATATATATATATATATCAATGTGGAGAAATAGCTTTCATAAGGAGAGTATGGTGTGGTGGTTCAAGTGTGGACTCTGAAGTCAGAATGCCTGGGTTTAAATTCAGACTGCGTTACTTAGTAGCTGCGGGGCCTTGGGCAAGTGACTTAACCTCTCCGTGCTTCAGTTTTCTCATCTGTGCAACGGGCTGATAATACCACCTATCTCCTATGGTTAATTAAAGATTAAATATGGAAGGCACTCAGAGCAGGCCTGGTCCACAGGCCTGGCACTCAGCTGTTTACTTCCTCCAATTTTAAGATCCTTTGTTCCATAAGATTTGAAATTACAACTATGAAGTTTGATGCACATTTTTCATTTATTCTTCTACGGAGTTTATTTTGATGGTCCACAGAAATGTAATTAGCATCATGCAAATATTTTGGTTAGGGCTAAAAGCCGCCTCCAACATTTAGCACAAAGGACAAAATGTTTAAGCATCATCACGTCTTGAAAGCTGAATGTGAGAGCTCTGTAGGTAAATCCCCTAACAAGTGAGAGATTTTTGAATAAACAATAATTTTGTAGCAAAAACTTAAGTAACAGCTGCAGGAAGTATTGAAACAAACAGAGCCTGGGGGTTGGTGTAAGTGAAGGATGCAACCTGGTGGAATAATTTATTATCTGGAACAACTGAAATACTGACTCTATGCATATCATCTCTATAGGAAATTTAAGGAATGAAAATACTTGCATGTCATCTTGGAACATTTATTGTTGCAATGTTTACTTTTCAAAAGTAGGTGTGACGTTCGTTAGGCAGCTGTGGTTTTCTGGTATGATGTATAGAGATGGTAAAACATATGTGTATTTATTTGATATTGTCAGAGTTTCCAGTCATTTCCTAGCCTGGGTATGGCAGCGATTTTCCGTTTCATCATTGTTTTTATTTAACAGAATTTTTTGAAAGTATTTCAGCACTTTAAGTAAATGATGAGAGAACAAAGAAGAGAGAGGAGAGAGAGAGAAAGAGAGTAGGCAAATGAATAAGAGATGGGAAAATGGTAGAGTCACGCGCCAATAAGTGTAAAGATTAAGTAAAAATCTTGCATATGTCTCTATTGTGAATTTTAGGCTAAATCTTTTCTAATTAAAAACCACCCATGAAGGCATCAAGATGACCTCTGGCCAGAGACTGAATCATCTTTGCATGGCATCAACATGACTCCCTTGTGCAGGTCCTCAGGAAACAGAGCAAACCCCCATTCCTGATCTGAGAAGACAGCCTGGGAACATGTTCCATCCATGTGCATGAGGATCTTGACATGGAAAGAGGTGATACACTCTTCTTCCCTACATGGTTCATTCTGGTTATTCATACCCCTAGAACTGAGAAGTTCATAATATACCGCCTTTTAACTGCTGTTTATAGAAATACACTTGTCAGAGTCCATCAAAGTCATGGACAGTGTAAAGAATGGAGAAAGTGTCCAATGGGGAAGAGTCATAGAAATCACCCAAATGAGGAAATTCTAAGTAGATTTTCCATATGACTCCTTTTCTTTAAGGACATGTTCCGTGTATGCAATCCTACTTTTGGGCAACTCCAAAGGAAATGCCCCCTCATCCCTCACATTCACCAAAAATTCAAACAGGAAGAGATGGATGATCCTTCCACATTGTCCCAATTAATCCTCAGGGATTGTCTTTTCATTTTCTAACTTGACAAATTAATCAATGTCTGTAGAAAAATAAAAAGTTGAATCCTTTTCATTTTCCCTGCAGCTTAAGTTGCAGTGGAGTAGAATGGTAAAACATATGTTTGTGAAGTTTAGGGCTGTAATGGTGTATTTCTTCTGAAATAAGCAGTATGATAGAGTTTTGGGTTTGCACCATTTTAGAGATGGGTAAAAACAAGACTCAGAGATTTAAGAGATTTATAGAAGAGTCAGAAACAGCCCATTGCTCTATATTGTAAATCACCCCATTTTGACTGAAATTGCCTGATTCACAGAGAAGAAGCCTCATGTTCACTAGGTATAAGAGATGAAGAAGAAGGGAGGAAGGGGGAAGAGGGGAAAAAGAGAAAGGGGGAAAAAAGGAGAAGGAGAAGGGGAAGAAGAAAAAGAAGAACAAAGAACTACATTATTCTTCTCTCAGTTCAGTTTTCCCAATTCAAAGTCAGAGCCTGGTAGCTCAGGTAGAAGGGACATGTGGGACTAAACCTGTACCCTCTGAGTGCTTGACAAATTAACTGAAGGGTGTTTATACTGAGCTGTCATCATGCTGCAGACCAGGCTGTGAGGAAGGGTGGGTTTGATTTATTTGCTGTTTACAGCAGTGAAAACAACTTGAGTGAAATTAAGGCAGACTTACAGTTTGTTGGTTGGTTCTTGGCCAGCAAGGATCATGTGCCTGTCATATTTACTCAGCTCTTACTACTGAGATTGCACAAAAGTTTAGGCAGTGCAGAGTGTTTTTAATTTTTTCTCCAAAGTAATAAACTCTAGACATTCTTAGGTATCAGTGTATTTGGATAGCAGATTTCAAATGTAAGTACAAGAGAAGCACCAGTCAGTTGGTTTTTCAATGAAAAGAAATTTGTGATTAGCAACAGATAAAACTAACCATGCTTGTTGTTTTTAAAAATCTCTTTTCCTTTGGTATTCTGTAGTTTCATTATAATATGTCTGAGGATGAATTTATTGTTGTTTACACAGTTTGCAAATTGTTGGGCTTCTTGAATCTGCAGATTCATTTCTTTCTTCAATTTTATAAACTTCTCACCATGATCTATTCAAATAGCCTCTTTCCTATATTTTCTCTGTTTTTTCTATCTTCAACTCCTATTAGCATATGTGGAACACCTCGTTTTGTCCTCTATGTCTCAATGTTTTTGTGTTTTTCATCTCTTTACCTTCCTGGGTTGATAGGCTTTGGGTGATTTCCTCAGGTCAATCTTCTAGATCAACAGTTCTCTTTTTTCTGTGACTTGTTTGTTGTTAACATGTCCATTGAGCTCTAAAATGAATACATATTGCATAGTTTTAAAATTTGAAATAATTTTCATTTAAAAATAATTATAGAATTATAAGTTGCAAAAATAGTACAGAGAGTTCACGTATACCTATGTTCAGCTTCCCCCAGTGGTGACCTATTAAATAACTAGAGTGCATTATAGAACCTAAGGAGTTGATTGGCACAATACTATCAACTAAAGAACAGATTTTGCAAGTTTTTGCATATAATCATATTTTAAGGTATTTATGTATAAATCTATGACATTTATCACAAGTGTAGATTCATATAACCACCACTACAGTTAACATACAGCATTGTTCCATCACCACAAAGGAACTCCTCCATGTTACCTTTTTATAATCACACACCCCCCTTTCACCTTCTCTTAACTCTGGACATCCACTGATCTGTTGTCCATCATCTCTATAATTTTGTCATTTTGAGAATTTTATATAAATGGAACTGTACAGTTTGTAATCCTATGAGACAGCTTTTTTTTCACTCAGTATAATGCCTTAGAGATCCATCCAAATTGTTATATGTATCAATAATTTATTTAGAGGGTTCTTTATATATTCCTGATACAAGTTCCTTGTTAGATATGTAATATGCAAATACTTTCACCTCCAACAAGTTTTAGCTTTTACTGCCCTACTTTTTATTTCGAAAAGTTCTATTTAGTTCTCTTTTCAAGGTCAGCCTGAACTTATTTTCAGAGAACCTTATACTTTCTCCTTAAGACCTTCTTTATATAGTTAATCCTTCAAGTCCTTTTAAAGATCATTTCTATTCAAGAATTATAATGTTTAAAATTCTAATTCTGTCTTCTGTATTGTTTGCTGACTCTTTCTCACATTATTGTTTCCTCATATGTTTCACAGTTTTAGACAATGAACTTGGCCTCATTGGAATTTAATCTCTTGAAATCCCTACAGAGACACATTAAGGGGATGTTCAAGAGAGGTGTTGCTTTTACTTTTGTAAGGTACTCCAGGAGTATCACCAGCTAAACACTACTTTTTATGCTATTATCTCAATTTAAAGTTTCCTACATCTTGCCCATGGCATGAATTTCAACACCAGATGGTTATGTGGCTATAAATCCTCAGAGATATCTTTTTTATTTTTTTTAAACTCCTCTCCAAAGCTAATGGATTTTTAAAAAAATTATTTTAAAATTCTGCACTGCTTCATCCTGGCTTCATGTTGCAGTTTCAGTTCCAACTTCTTGTCTCTAGGGCTTAAGCCTTTATCTCCTGTTCCTACACAGGGATTAGTATCCAAACTCCTTCCCTGCAGCAGCTGAAGCTTCAAGGCTCATGTTGACCTTACTGGTTTTCACTTCCCTCATTATTTTTGGTGACTGATGATTTCTCTTACCTTATTGTGAGCTTGTCTCTTAATTTAAAATATATATTTCATTTTAAAATAGTGTATTTATAAATATTTGTTATTTTTTATCCAGTATTCCTTGTGTTCAGTAGTGGAAGAGTTTTCAAACTATCTAGACATGTATTTTTCCCATTAGCTGTTTATAACAAATTTTACAAAACTGTGAACTGACTCCTTTAGTTGAACGATGTCAGTATTTATGATGGAGATATAAGGCTTTGTGTGACTTTGTAAATAAATATGCTTTGAGAGTGTAATTATGAGGTTCTGGCTCTCAACATAAATGTCATATCTGCAGAGAAGTCTTCCTTGACTAATTCCCAGCTCCAGTCTTTCTACCTCTTTTTATCTCTCACTCTAGTTTAGTTTCTTCAAAGCACTCACACTTTCTTATTTTTTGATTCTTAAGATATATTTATTACAAGTCTTCTCCCCACTAGGATGTAAGTTCACAAGATTGTGTCAGATCAGAGCAGAAGGATAGAGAATAAGTTTACCTGTCAAGGAGTCACCAAGTACTAGTGATGTGAACACATGGAATATGACATAGGTGACCAGAGATGCATGAATGGAATGCAGTTTCAACAAAGAAAATGGAAATTTAGTAAAAATATATTGTGTGCTATTTGAAGGGAGAATAAACATATTAAAAACAAAAGAAAAGATTTTAGCAAAATCTGGATGACCATCAGAATCATTTTCATTGTAAATCAATTAACAAAAAATGAAAAAAAAAACCCCAACATTTTCATCACCTACAGTTTTGCACGTGGATAACTTTTTTTTTAAGTTTTATTTTTATGTAAACTACACACTATTTTATAAAACACAATAAGAAGCAACATCTCAGGAAGTGTCTGGTCATGCCCACTAGGGGTGGCACAACACTGCTTCCAGCAAGGTTGGAAAAGCTGCCCTTGAGGAGGCAAGTTGCCCAAGCATGATGGGCAGCAGAACCTTCCCTGGGTTTGCTCTTAGGAGCTACAGAATCTAGAAAAATATGTCTGAGGGCAAGAATTTGGCAGCATTTCTCCAGCTCTGGCCAAGGTTAAGGAGATCTGGTCTGGGGCATTTAGTACAAGGATTATTGCTTCACTTTTGCAGCCTGAATGAAAATGCCATTGGGAGCATCCCTTTGATCTGATTTCATATATCAATAGCAGACATTCATCTGATTGAGAGTGTGGTTGTCCAGGTGTTCTGCATGGCAAACATGGACACTTTGAACTCTGAGAAGGATTATCCCTCCTTGTAATTAGTGAGCTGGCTTTCTGGTTTATACATATGTTTCTTGTGAACTTTGTAAGTGGATCGGTCCCAATCAGCCCTAGTGCAACATCAAGTTTAATGTCTGTCCAGCTGAAGATCAGACTGAAGTTTGGTCTGGGCAACAAACCAGCCTCCAAGACCTATGGTTCCCCAATTCTCATTCCTGGGCTGGCAACATCAGATGACCCAGGAAGCTTAAAAATATTTATTCCTGGACCCCACATCAGTCTTTCCTGATTCAGAGCTGGTATGAAGTGGGGAGGAGAAAAGGGAATCTGTTTTTAAGAAGCCTTTCTGATGAATCTTATGCAGCAGATTTGGGGAACACTGCCCTAGATCATTTTCTTTTCCATCCCCTTGTAACTGGAATGTGCATCTTTTTCCCCTTGCCCCCAAATAATGACTCTGATTTCAGAGGACTTAATTGAGTTTAATGCGATCTCCAGTGCTGTAGGCTTAATCATCCTATGGGTAATTGCATTTTGAAATAAGAGCTTGTTAGTGCAAATAAAGCTTTGCAGCATTAGGGCCTTCTCATCCTTTGGAGCAAGCAGAAAGGTCAGGTTCAGTTCTAATGTCCTTTCACCCATCCTTCTGCACCCCTCTCCCACATCTGGTGTCTCTTTCCTATTTACACAGGCTGCAAAGATTTATGTTCCAAGGAAGGTGCTGTGCAGCTTTCAGAAACCAGCTGCCTCAGTGCATAATTTCAGTTGGCCCGTGAAGATTCTTTAGGAGACACAAGGTTTCATTCAAGATCTCATGCCTCTCCCAGCCACTCTTTCTGCAGAAAGCATCTACTTCTTTGGAAAATAGAGAAAAAATCAAATTTAGTATGTGGGCCAAAGTGCTGTGACTCAGGATTCCTGTTACTTTGGTTGGGGACAGGGTAGAAGGGATTTTGATATCTTACCTTCTGCTAATTGTTATTCAACTAGGAAAAGAGAAAAGGAATTAACAGGGAATGAAGGGATTGAACAAATAAATATGGCTTTCATGCAGGAAACTGAGTTGACGCCTTTTTAAAAAAAATGTATTTTATTGTAGTATAGTTGATTTACAATGTTGTGTTAATTTCTCCTGTACAGCAAAGTGATTCAGTTATACATATATATATATATACATACGCGCACACACACACACACACACACACACACATATATATATACATGTATGTATATACATACTTTTTCATATTCTTTTTCATTGTGGTTTATCACAGGATACTGAATATAATTCCCTGTGTCATACAGAAGGACCTTATTTTTATTTTTTTTTTTTTTTGCATTACGCGGGCCTCTCATTGTTGTGGCCTCTCCCGTTGCGGAGCACAGGCTCCGGACGCGCAGGCTCAGGGACCATGGCTCACGGGCCCAGCCGCTCTATGGCATGTGGGATCCTCCCAAACCGGGGCACGAACCCGTGTCCCCTGCATCGGCAGGCGGACTCTCAACCATTGCGCCACCAGAGAAGCCCAGGACCTTATTTTTAATCCATTCTATATATAATAGTTTGCATCTGCTAATCCCAAACTCCCAATCCATCCCTCCCCCACCCCCCTTTCCCTTGGCAACCACAAGTCTGTTCTCTATGTCTGTGAGTCTGTTTCTGTTTCGTAGATAAGTTCATTTGGGTCATAGTTTAGATTCCACATGTAAGTGATATTATATGGTATTTGTCTTTCTCTTTCTGACTTATTTCATTTGGTATGATAATCTTTAGGTCCATCCATGTTGCTGCAAATGGCATTATTTCATTCTTTTTTATGGTTGAGTAGTATTCCATTGTATATATGTACCACACCTTCTTTATCCATTCACCTGTCAAGGGACATTTAGGTTGTTTCCATGTCTTGGCTATTGTGAATAGTTGATGCCTTTTTTAGAATGGCTGCGATGGAGAATCTTTTGTCTCCAAATTAACCTACTTACTGAAATTTACATGCCGGTAGGCTTTAATTCTATCTTGAAATAAGTGAAGTGGAAAGGCTTAAAGAGAAGCATAAATTACTGACAATCCCCAGGACGCAAGATCTCTTTCCCCAGGACCAGTGCTAGGATTAGAAAGTACAATTCTCATCATTTAATCTCATTATCATTTGAGGATGGTAGCAACCCCTGGCTACAGAGTCCAATTCCATTCATTCAATTCTTCAATTTTATTCAATAAATATTTGTTAGTTACCCCATTTGTGTGTAGCATTTTTGAGGATGAATACTGTACATTTCACAAGAGTTAGGACTATCTTGTGTGTGGCTATTCAGTGTCCATTAGGGTGAAGTCTAGGAACTTACATGAGAGCTCACATCACCTAGAGTCACATGGACTTGATGATTTAGTTAAGATGTC